GCGTTTTTTTTTTTTTTTTTTTTTTTTTTTCCGGTCCTGTTGCCATTTATAGGCGCAATGCAAATTAGCGGCGAATGAAGGGAATTTCCCATCTCGAGACGTCTCCGGGGGAATCATCTTTACACCTGCTTGCTGTTTTTAGACCTTTGTGAAATTCAGCACACGGCCAAAGTGCGAACATTTTTCTTTGTCACCTCATCACGTCCCACTCTTCATATTGACGCCGTGAACAACCAGGCTTGGGTGTTTTGTTCGTTTTTTTTTTTACCTCCCCCTTTGGAGGGGCACTCACTGCAAAAGTCTTGGGACAGTTCACACTTGAATGAATCAATTAAGGCGTCACTAATTGACGACTAAACCCACACTACCTGCACCATCAATCTTAGTTGTTCATCAGACATTTTTATGCTGCCGACAGTTTGGGGAAAGTCCGTTTTCTGTTCCCGGTGCACGCAAGGAAGTCCCCAAATGCATGCGTGGATGAGTTTGCTGTGAAAGTGTGTTTAGTCATGCCTGGTGTTGATTGCTGTCACTATATTGGGAATTGGGAATTTCTCCATTGTGAGACTAAGAAAGGTTTTCCTCTACGACCCGATTTCGAAAAATGATCGGAGCCAGCTCCCAAATCCCCGTTACATGCGGACGAAATGTAGAAACAACAAAAAAAAAAAAACGATCGACAAACCCATTCTGTGTGGACTTGGATGAACCCTGCCTCTCAACCTAAAGTCAGCTGGGATAGACTCAAGCTGACCCGTCGTGACTCTTATGTCACATGAGCACCATAAGGAGTCGAAATAGAAAAGGATGCATGTTATCTTCATCTTTTAGTGCCAAAGTGTATGCAGCGATCTGTCGAGTTGCAAATGTGTTTGTCTTGCTCCATTTATATCATGCACGCCTGTTTGGGGGATTTCCAAGTTGTAGGACGCACACGCTCCCCAGGGGTGTGACTGTGTGTGTATGTGTGTGTGTGTATGTGTGTGTGTGTGTCTTGTGCACTGATTTACTCCTTCACTGATTAGCCGCGTCCTCCCCCGCCACCCCGCCTTTGGGAAACACCACCCCGTGGCTAATTTGCTCGCATATTCTTCTTGTTCTTTTATGGTTGCTACTTGTCAAGACCATCTGGGTGTAAAAGTTTGCATCTCAGTGTATGCTGGCAGCTCGTGTCAAGCGCTGCATCTGCTTCCGTGATGAGGCACGTCCGATCGGGGATTTAACCTGATTAGATGGGTGGAATGGCCGCAAGGCCTGGATGGAATTTCGGTAGAGATGGATGGATGAAGGAGATAAGGTCAAAGGTCACTGCAGAGAGGGAGAGGAGTGTGTCCGGGGTGTGACGTCGGCTTTCCTTGTGCGCACTGTTTCTTTTTCTTGTTTTTGTTTATGCACTGCCCTCCTTCTGTCCGGCTCACTCTTCGTTTCGTGACGTCCTCTCGCTCGCCCTTTGCCCTCCGCTGCCACATTTTCTTAAAGTTAAAGCAGCAAAAGACAGATAAGATTTTGCTCAGTGATTCCTTTTGGGCTTATCGAGTGTTTGTTTTGGTCAAACATGCACACACGCGGCACACATCCAAACATCGAAGTACCGCCGACCCACTTCCCTCCCATTTTGGTCATGTAGGGGCACTGGCACTCACTCACTCACATTGACAGATTACTTTCCTAATGGAATTTAATTATTTATCCCTTCCTCATGGCGGTTTAGCCAGGAAAAGACCGACAGCAGCAGGAGGCAGCAGGGGAAGGACAGGACCGGAAGGTGGGAAGGAGGAGGGAGGGAAGGGGGGGGGTGCTCATTTCCTTGTGGCAAAATCTGGACCACCTCACTTTTTTTTTTTTTTTTTTTTTTTTTTTTTTTTTTTTAAAAAAAAAAAAAAAAAAAAAAAAAAAAAAAACATCATTGTCCAGCAGATGAAAAATCCAATTTGATTGAAATGGTAAATACAGTGCACTGTATATGTTGGTATCTACATCACACAAAGAGCTTTACACACACATACAGTACATTCACATACATTTCACATAGCTTATCCCTATTTGCCAGTTTCTTGAACTGTTGAGCACAGTGGGAGCACGCTGATGGCTACTTGCCACTTTTTTGACTCCTAAAACACCAAAAAGGTTTTTTGTTTTTTTTTGGCTTTAAAGTTTTGCTGACCTTAACAGAATCCCGTCTCACATTGTTGCCAAAGGTACAACTCTGGTGGAAGTGCTCCCTAAATCCTTATGCAAACCAAAATCAACTTGTCATGACTACCAGTCATTGCTTTTTCTTCAACATTGTCTTTTTTATTCTTCTTCTGTCTTTCCCACTCAGTGAAGGTGTGTATGTGCGTGTGAATGGTCATATGTCTCTATACGTGCCCTGCGACTGACTGGCAACCAGTTCAGGGTATAGTCTGCCTTTTGTCCAAAGTCAGCTGGAATCAGTTCCAGCAATTCCTCTTCAAAATAAGCGGTGTTGAAAATGGATAGATGGATGATCTTTTTGTATAATTCCAGAAAGTAAATTGGTTAAATCAATACAAAGAGCCGACTGATGTCAAACATGAGTAGCTCTTTGCTTCCACCAGATCAGAAAACGTCACCACACTTACCTATGAGGTACACCAATGTAGTTTCATCCAATCAAATGAAGCCATAGCTCCTAATTTGTAAATCTTAATTTTAATGGCACAGCCTCCTCTTGGAATTGAGTATGAGGGCTACAAAACCCTGACAAAAGATCATTTTGATCTGCGCAGGCTAGCCAATTCACTGCTGGTTCAAATTTGTGCAAGGGAAGTATGGCATTTGAGTTGAGGTGTTTTTACAACGCACACGGTAAACCAACGGCCTTCAAAGCACAGCACTTATTGCTGAGTGCCTCTGGGGTGGTTGGCCAAGATTACTCTCAAAACAAAGTGCAGACAGGTTGATTAATTGAAGGGTCCACATAGGTGCACACCACAGTATATTATCATGCCAGCGAACACTCGCTCATTTCATCTGTGGTGGACTTTTATACTTACCAAGTGAGTTGGTCACTTCATAAAAGTGATGCCACCTTCTCTTTGGGTGTCAGTCAAAAACTTATCAGCGCTTTGACAGTTATGTTGTTTTAATGAAGTCTCCGAGGCTCTCTCACAACATGCGACACAGATGATTGCAGGCCACAGGAGAAGCAACATTTCCAACAAGCCATTCTTTTCAGTTGACCACTGTATGCGATCACTCCTGCGAAACTTGCAATTCCAGTGTTACCCAGCAACAGATTGAGCGAAATGTGATATGATACAGTACACACAGCAAGCTATCAATATCCATAAAAAAACACACAAACAGCATTTAATCATCTCTTGATTTTAATCCAGGGTATATATTACTAAAGCCAGAGTGGCAATTTAATTTTGCAAAGGAGCCATGAGAGAAACTGCGACACTTACCGAGGGCCAAGCTATCATGCTAACCTTAGCTTTGTTCCATATTAGATTTATGCATTTAGAAAATGCATATTTTCTTCATAAAATGCTATGTGTGTGTAGATATGGTTTAGATTGTTATAATTAGGAAATACAATCATCACTGTAGGAAATATACTGATAACATATAACAATGGTCTATGAATGTAGATTTGCATCCATAGTGTTATCAGGCCCCCTCCTCTTGGCCCCCTTTCTCTCCACTGGTGTACGTACCATTTTAAGAAATTTGTGGAAGTCACACCACTCCAACGCATAGTACAATTTACAATATCCATGTTGCTTGGCCTTTGAACATCCTGAAGTCAGTGTGAAGTGTTAAGCTTTATGACTCTCGGAAGCATCAGCTGGAATGATCTTTTAGTCCAGGGCAGATCTCCAGATGGAATGTGTCTGGCTTTGCTGAAACACCTACGATGGGAGTTGGGTGTTTTGGGTAGTAGCAGCCCATAGCTTGGTTTGTCAAGAACAGATCCTGTTTCGAGAAATATGCCCTGGACAGCATGAATTGTATGACACGGAGCAGTGCGAGGCCAGGCCCGTAAAGCTTCGAGACTCTCTTTTTCCACGTGTCTGAAGCGAGGTTTGGCAGTGGCTCAGCTGCCGTGCTCAGAGAGGGAGACCAGAAGAGAAAGGGGAGGGGCGAGGGGCTTGGTTGTGACTGCGCGGAGTGCATGCTGAGAACATGCTCCGTCGCGTCTGCGCAGCCACAGACAGACTAAGGAATTGACTTTCCCAGTTCCAACTCGTCCAGATGATCGTAAACACAACGACAAAGACCAACATGGTGAGACAGCACCTGATAAAGGTACCCAGAGAGTTGTATTTTTTCGGTGGGACTGTACTTGTAAAGTTGAGAGCCACTTCAGTCGAAGGTTTTCTTTGTCATTCCTATTGGTCACCAGTAGACGGCGCCCTTACGTTTCGTAAAGACCTTGTCAACACCGTCGACGACGGGCGCGAGCCTCTAACGAGTTTGCGGTCGAATTTTACAATGATTCTTACTGCTGTTAGCTGACATTGGAAAGCGAAATCGGGTTTATTGTTTCCCGTTGCCAATGGCGGGCCCTCTGCTGGAGTTTGAGACCGAAATGTTTCTGACATTTTGATCGATCGATATACAGTGAATACTCTGAGGGGGAAAAGTTATCGGGACCCTCAGAAAGTCATCCGATGTTTCCTGACGAGACTTGCGTCTCAACTATTCCAGCGGAGTAGCCATGATCAACAAAGCATCTTGAAACAATGAATAAAGTTGGCTTGCACGTTTTGGTAGTGTGTGTCATGGGTGTTTTATTTGCACTTTATTCCCGATCGCCAAGAACAGGGGTGTAAAACATCCGGCCCGCGGGCCGGGACCGGCCCGCAAGGAGGTTTGATCAGGCCCGCGGGATGATTTAAAAGTTAAAAAATGCATAGAAGACACGGAATGAATATTTTTAATAATGTGCAATTCATGGAATATCCGCTAGGGGGACACACTCTTTTGATCAGAGGAAAAGACAACATTGTTTTGATCAGAGAAGAAGACAACTGCAGCCTCAGTCTGTCACTGAGACAGACCCAACACAGCAGACGCTATCAAGGACATGTGAATACTTTATTCTTTACCCATATTATAGCGCTCTCCTTAGTTTGTAAGGTGTCGGCTAAGCAATCCTTGAATCAACCATTATTCTTGACTTCTTTAGATGCTTTCTCAGTCATCACGGCCCTCCAAGGAAAATGGGCACTTCAGTGTGGCGCGCGTGTGTGTGTGTGTGTGTGTGTGTGTGTGTGTGTGTGTGTGTGTGTATATCCAGTCATACCTCGGTTTTCAACCATAATCCGTTCCAGAAGGCTGTTTGAAAACCGATTTGTTCGAAAACCGAAACCACCCTGATTAAAAAAAAAATCTTCATTGAACACGTTTGCTCACAATGGAATGCTACACGAGGAAGCGCCACTTCCTCCTCTACCCGAGGAAGCGTCACTTCCTCGTGTAAGGAAGGCGAAAGGAGTCAAATGGTGCATTCAAGTGCGCTCAGTTTGTTCGAGAACTGAAATTTGTTCGTCATCCGAGGCATAAAAAACTGAAAATTTGTGGTCAAGAGAACCGAGACGTTTGAAAACCGAGGTGTGGCCTGCATGATAATGTAAAAGTGAAATAATACACAAAAGACACGGAATGAATATTTTTAATAAGGTACAATTCATGGAATATCCGCTAGGGGGACACACTTTTGATCAGAGGAAAAGACAACATTATTTTGATCAGAGAAGAAGATAACAGCAGCCTCAGTCCTTCACTGAGACAGACCGAACACATCAGACGCTATCAAGGACATGTTTATACTTTATTCTTTACACAGATTATACAGTAGCACTCTCCTTTGTTTGTGAGGTGTAGGCAGGGATTACATTTAGATTTTATATGCTCGTGTACATGGTTTAAAAATTCATTTCTTTATAAATCTCGTTTAATCTTAAAAGTGCATTACTATATTTTTCAAGACCAATTACTTGTTAAGGTTTTGTGCCAATCACATGCCCGCGAGAGACGCCAACCGTCTCACCAATTATGTTCTTTTATTTAATCTTCAAAACTTCGTGTGGTCGGCTGCCTTTGACTACATATAAAAATATTGAAATTTTCACAGCAGAATGGCCGAATGGTACAAGACCTCGCGTGGTTATCAGGCGAACTAAGCTGGTCAGAAGTCTCATTTCAACAATCCTCTTTACATTATTCAGAGTTGAAGGAAGATTGTTCTTGGGTCCTCCGTGCCACAAGGGGGACTAACTTGCTCATCGCCAGAGTCCACCTACGAGCACAGACCTGCAGGCAACACTTTTTGCTCCTCTTCCTGTTATTCACAAGGTGCTGAAGTCAAACTTTGGGCCAGCCTGAAAAGTAGGAGACATTTACACTCGTTCAATGCACCATCATGACTACTTTTTTTTTCTCCCCCAGGCAGCAGTAAACATGATCTGCTTCCTGCTCTCGAAAGACCCAACAGTTTATCTCCCTGGTAAGTTTCATGCCCAACACATTTTTGTCTGTACAAGAAATTGACTTGCGTGTAACTCACGGATGCCTTTCCCCCTCAGGTCAACACACCTGTCCCACGTTCTTCTCAAGAGCTGACCACTTCACCGCCCAGCAACAAGCAGACTGCCTTCCAACTTGCAACTTTTTCCTCTGCTTTCGTGATTGTCGACTCTGCAAAAGAAATAAAGCTTGATTACAAAGAACAATTCAACTCAACTTCATTTTTAAACACATCACCACAATCTAACTTTAAATATATATATATATATTTTTTTAAAAAACAAAATTATTTTCAGTTTTTTTCTAAACTTTTTTTCTGAATTTTTTTCAAAATTTTTTTTCCCCAAAATATTTTTTCCTGGATTTTTTTTCCCAGACAGAAAAATCCAAGGAAGTGAGTGTGGCCTGGCTGGAATGATGGCTGATGATTCGCTGATAGCTGTGAAAGTGGGTGGAGCATGACGATAACATGCTTTGATTGGTGGTAAGGGGAGTGGTTATGCAAATTAGGCGTTCTCTGATTAGTGGTCTCTTTAGGGGCGTGGCTACGCAATTTTTAGAGCAATCTGATTGGTCATAACTTGGAAAGTGGGCAGGGTTATGCAAATTAGGGCCTGGGTTATGCAAATGAGGGGCCACACCGCGATCGGTGGATGTCAAATTGGGTGTGGTTTGGGGCGGGCATTGCAGCACTTTTTCAAAGTCCCACTTGAGTCTTGAGGTCAGACTTGCACTTGGGTCACATCAGACAGTCTTTTCACTGTTCCCGTCGGTTTCACATGACCCAAAAGCTCGATTCCTGGAGTTTCGAGTCATGTGGAGACCAACGGGAACAGTGAAAAGACTGTTTGATGTGACTGACGCGCAAGTCTGAGCTCAAGACTTAAGTCTTTGAAAAGGCTTCGAGTGAGTTGAGGATGGATTTGGTCATGATAGGCAAAGACTCGAATTCAAGTTGAACAATTTATTGGACAGAAAAGCGAACATGACAATGTAAAAGCATTTGACCAGTCAATCTTTGTGTGGGCCAGTTCAAGTTGCACGCACACAAACACTGACGAAAGGCCCGAGATGGGAGCATGTGCTTGACCAGCTCATGCGTGATGTCACTGACATCTCATGACACAGCAAGGGGGACATGAGCACGCCCGACTTCTCTCACTGAGACAAAAACTAACTGCCGTGTACTCCACAACAACATGATCACACTCTTCTGGTCAAGTTTTTAAATGACATTGAAGTGGGCCAAGTTAGTCATATGTATGTATATATTATATACATTATATATATGCATACATAGACACATTTTTAAACTAACTTTGTCCACTTCAAGGTTTAAAAACATATTCCAGAAGTGCTTGATGATGCTCGGGTTGTCTATGTGGAGTTGACACTGTTGTGCAGTACACGAAGCAGAAGTTTAAGTTGAATGAGAGACAGACAGGCGGCCGCACTCACCTCCACCTTGTGGGGCAACGTGACATCAGCTCTTCAAGCACATCACACAGCTCAGTACTCACACGTGTCCAAATGCAGGTTGGCGTCCCTTCCGCATGTCCTCCGAGTCTGGCGGCTGCGCCTTTGGCCCAGTCATCTGACTAATCTGGTCAGGCAGATAAACAAAAGTGGAAAGTCACACACTGTAGTCCACAAGAAAGTTGTTTCTTTTTAATTTGAGTCATTATTCGTAAAGTGGCAGACTTTTACTTTCAACCCGTCCATTTCCAAACGTGCCCGCACTTGCAATGCATCTGTTTGAGCGATACACTCGCGGCTCTCTCCCCACACCTAAAGTACAAAGAGCAACCTCCTTTTGAAAAACAAATGAACAAAGTCACAGGTGCATTTGTAAGAATAGTTTTAAAACAAATCTGCCCCCCCCGATGTGAAGCCATCACACTTCCACTGCTGATAGCAGCTTTGGTGTGGAAAACATACAGAATAGTATTCAAGTCAAACGCTGTTCGCGATTGCGTTTTGATTGACAGCTGAGGTCTACTTGTCGGCGGCGTGCTCGCTCACTGCCCCCTTTGCTGATGTTGTTTTTTTACAATAACTTCCAGTGACTTAGTGAGTCACAACAACAAAATTAAAGGAGCATCGTGTCGTAATAACTCTCCCCAATTGTCTTCATCTACACACTCAGAGATAAACTGCGAAGTCAGTTTAAAATGTTAAAATTACTCACTGAGAACAGGGCTTGTGGACAGCGGAAAAACGTACCGTTCTTGTGCTTGTACTTATTCTTCTTCTTGGTGAATTGGATGTCTTTAATTCATATCGCACCCTTCTGAGAGAGAGAGAGAGAGAGAGAGAGAGAGAGAGAGAGAGAGAGAGAGAGAGAGAGAGAGAGAGAGAGAGAGAGAGCCGGCTCTCGAGGGAGCGTGCCGGCTCTCATCGTTCACTTCAGAGAGCCGGCTCTTTGTACCGGCTCGTTCGCGACCGACACATCACTTGTCAACACCACCCCTTCTCCATGTATCTTCAAGAATGGGATGTCGATCGCCTTGAAAGAGAGCTGTCTTGGTGTGATGCCGTTATGTCAATTTAAAAAAAATTATCCCAGAAACCGTCATGTCCAACTACTTGACTAATTTCCAATAACGCAAATTACACGAAAGCAATTCAATTAACTTGGACAGGCATTAGCGAACTTAATGTTGAGGTCCGTGGTCGAAAGTGGAAGGCCCGAGTTCAGAAAGAGACACGCACATGGGGACAAGAAAATGCAAACGAAGTCGACATTTTATTTTTAAGAGCATATTTTACAAATTGGCTTCTTGTCAAAAACACAAAAAATCCAAACAGCTTCAATTTATTGGTTGGAATTAGCACCCCCCCCCCATCAAAACGTTTACATGGATGCAATTAGGGAACATGATCGGCCATTTAAATCCGTTTTTTAAACGTTTGTGTCCCAACAATTAAGAACAAGTAATAACAACACATGATCATGACATGAAAAAATATTTAACAACTGCATGTCAAAGATTGAGGAAAGTGGTGAACGCAATAATAAAACTTGAAAACAAAAGGGGAAGGGGTGTGGGGTTCCGAGGGTCGGGAAAAGTCCAAGTACAAAACAAGTCTTTATGGCAGGAAGGCGTTTGAAACAGAACTTTTTTTTTTCGTCAAGCAATATGTGCGACTGAAACCCAGCGGGTAATAAAATAGAATAAAACCAAACAAAAAAAAAAATTAAAGGTACATTCAAAGCTTTGGCTATTAATGGAGAAAAACAATTAAGACCATATTCACACTGCCAGCCAATTCTCATTTTTTTGCCTTGATGCAACTTTTTTTTTTTTTTTTCATGGATTGTGAAGAGTATTTTTTCCTCCCAAATCCAACCGTTTTCCATATGTGGATAAAAATCCAATGCGACTACTGTCTGGACCGCCAGGTGGCACTCAATCGGCATCAACGTCATCAAAGGTGAGCTATGTGCTGCGTGGGGGCCGGCGTTCCAGGTTAGGCATGAACTAACCCCGATCACGACTGTCAGTCTTACTCTTATAGTTGTCTTGAATTGAATCCCCCTTGAAACAAAGCATCAAGTGAACATTGTTGGCGACAGTAATTGAGGTGCGCAGATTTTCATCGATGCTGCACGGCATTCTTGAGCTGACGTCTCCATCAAAAGACAAAATGGTTTTGCCCAAAACATTTCTACCTTCTTTCGCCCAAGCTCCTGTGTCGATCTCCGTGTCCTTGATGCAATTTCTGGTGGAAGGCGCTAGCATCTAAAGCAGTGGTTCTTAACCTGGGTTCGATCCAACCCCAGGGGTTCGGTGAATCAGTCTCAGGGGTTCGACGGAGCCTCTACCATGGAGGTTAAGACTACCGGACTCAACATGTCAATTACCGGTAGTTATGACACGCCCACTTAGCCATCACTGGGTGGTTCATTGTGTGCACAGTTAAAAAACTTAGACTTTATACTTCTACTAATTGTGTTTACTCTTTTACTGTTTTAATAAATGCGTTTTTAAAAAAAATAAAAAAAAATCATGTGTTCCCCCCCCCCCCACTAATGAAGGGTTCGGTGAATGTGCATATGAACTGGTTAGGTTCGGTACCTCGAACAAGGTTAAGAGCCACTGATCTAAAGCAAGGAAGAGGAACTTTCAAGTCAAGAAATAAGATTAGGCCCAAAACATGGACCCACATTTACATCCATAAACACCGCGCAGCTTAACTGCATATTTTGAGTGCAAGAGTGCCACGTCACAGATGCATTCCATTCACATTAGAAGTTGCATTTTTTTTGTAATGTGTGACAACTACTTAAAATTAGTTTGGGGCGGAGGGGATCAGAATTGGGCCCTGCAGTGTGAACGTAGACTAAGACGGCCATAAAATGGGCTACCGGGCATTACATCATGTTTTCTACCAGACTAGAAAAAGATGGAGGAAAAGAAAAAAAAGCACAAAAACATCTAACGGTACAATTTTTTTTTAAAATGAGGAATTCAACAAAATACACCATTGGTGAAGAATTATATAGTAGGCGTGTTCACAGGGAGCTGAAAATCACAAATATTTTCCCCAAGTGTGAACACCAACCTTTTACAGTCATCTGAGGGTTAAAATCAAAACGTGTGCTGGTGGGGGGAATACTTTTACGGCTTAAAAAAAAAAAAGTTTTAAAACTCACTGCTTACAAATGAGTTAGTGTGGACTTCTGGGTGTTAAAAAAAGGCAAAGATTACAAAGACTTCAATGCGTATATATTTTTTTTGTCACTATTCTATTTGCTCCTGATCGCCACAGAGACAAAGCGCCTGAATCGAGTGATGTCACTCTAAAAACTAAAATCTTCTGTGAGGACTAAAGAGGAGTAATCAAAAGTCATGGCAAAAACCAACAAACAAACAAAGAAAAGTAAAAGTAGAAGAGTTTCTAGTAGGACTTGATGAAAAAGAAAAGGATTAGTCTGTAGTAGGATATCTAATTGAACAGACTGCAATATAGCCTACAAGTGAAGAACCTTGATGGATTGTTCATCAAGCGCGCCAGTTGGAAACTTACGATGTCACTGCGAGGGATTGACCCCCTCCTCGGAGGCGGCGCGTTCTTCCCGTTGCTGAGCGGGGGCGCCGTCCTCACGCACTTCCGCCTCCTGTTCCTTGCGCTCCTCTGCTGCGTTGCTGGAATGGTTCCAGGGACTGTCATCCAGCGGAGCCTCGCTTTGGACTTTCTTGTCGCCCGAGTTCTTGGGGCGCCCCCTTTTGCGCGGCGTGCCATCCTCACCCGTTGTCAACCGAGGGCGTCCCAGGGGGCGCGGCGAGGCGGGATTGCGCAGGTGGGCACCTCGTTTGGATTCAGACTTGCGCGGCCGACCCGGTGTGCGGCGAGGGGGCGCCGGAGCTCCCTCCGGAGGATCTACCAGAGGATACTTCCTGGGCCTCCCGAGGGGCTTCCACACTCTGGGTTTAGCAGGTTCGCCGCGAGAGCCGGAGGGGTGCTTCCTGGGCCGGCCTCTTTTGCGCGGCGGTCCGTCGTATGAGGCGCCAGGACGTTTTGCTGCGTCCGACTTGCGCGGACGACCTCTACCTCGACGACCGGCCGGGGGTGCCCCTGCGGTCCCGGGGATAGGATGCTTCCTGGGTCTCCCAAGGGGCTTCCACACTCTGTTTTGGGAGCCTTCCGACGACGGCAGAGGGTACTTCCTGGGGCGGCCCCTTCTAGAAGGTACTTTCTTGGGTCTTCCACGCTTCCCGGTTTTTCTGGGGAGGCGCATGACCAGCCTGGAGGGCGGGATCTGCTTTCTACGGGGACGTCCCACTTGAAAGAGCACCAAAGACATAGCAGGCTTCTTGTTGACGGAGCCTTTGGGTCGGCCCCTCCCTCTTTTGGGGCCATCGCTGGCAGGCGCCAGGCGCCGCTCGGTGCTACTTTTTCTCGGCCGTCCTCTGCCCCGTGGGGCGGCGACCCCGTTGGGCGAGTTGTCATTGCCACCTAGCTCAACGCGAGGCACCTTTTTGGCTGAGCCCTGGGTTTGCCCCGCTTCGTCACTGTCTTCTTCGCTCGTGACATTCTCGGCCTTGCGCTTGCCGGATCCTTTGGGGCGCCCTCTTCCTCGTTTGGGCGTGTCTGAGCCATTGTCATCGGGCACCTTTTCAGCCAAACGCTTGCTCCCGGTGCCCTTTGGCCGGCCCCTCTTCTTGGGCACGTAATCTTCACCACTGCTTATGTTGTCGAAACCCAGCGCAGGGCTGCTGTTGGCGATGCCTGAAACAATCTCCATGAGGTTGACGTCGGGAACGGTGATCTGGAGCTTCTTGGAACCTTTGGGTCTTCCCCTGCCCCTTTTCACTAAAACACTGGCAGAAATGTCCTCACTGGACTCCTGTTGTTTCGGAACTTTGCCTTGCTCTTCAACCACTGTCTGCTCTTCCATGCCGTATGCACAGACTGTTTCGGTTAAATTGCCATCTGTGAAATATAACGTCAAATGTTGGCATCTCTTGATGATTACAGTGAAGCAATTCGAATTACGGAACCCGACCATGAATAGAATAATCATCAACGCCCTCTCAAGAGGTTTATGTTTGTATGTATGTCTGTATGTATGTATGTATACACACACACGCACCTACAGACACACACTTTCAATTTATCTGTAAAGAAAACCTTATACATTATTTCTGTGTAAAGTGATGCCAGTTCATGCTTGAGGGGGAACTTGGGTGGTATCAAGTGGAATAACTTTAAAAAGCCCCCCCCCCCCGAAGACAATAGCAACGGGCTCAGTAATTTTAAAAAATGGTGTAAATGAATGTATGGCTCCCAGCCAACGAATGGCAGAGTACATCCTGAATGGCGCTGCCCTCTGCAGGCCATTATGTGCAATGCAAGAAGAATTGAGGCACCTTTGGCTCCATATTTCAAATAGTTCATCAGTAATATTTTATTATAATTAAGAGATTTTTAAAAAATCGCATCGTGCAAATGATTAATTAAAAAATTCAAACACTAATCATATCTTAATTTCACCTATTACATAGACATTAACATTACAAACTGTAACCCTTCGTAAAATTTGTTTTTTTGCCATAAAATACAATAACTAAATAATCCTTATTAAAATAACATTTATTTTAAAAAAACACGACCACAGCGCAAGAAAATCTGCACACTCGTCAAATACTTAAATAAAGGAATTTAGGAGCATAACAAACATAATATTTAGTTAAATATATAAACGCTACGTTTAACAGAACGGGCTTCATCATTTAAATGTTTTGTTTTCACTCGTATAACCATTTTCCGGCCACGAAAATTGCACAATTTGTTTTGTATTGTAATCGCTGGCTCATTAATATAATAAACTGCCATAAAAAGCTAAAATATTGGGAGGAAAAAAAACTCTCGTGTAAAATGCAAAAAAATAAGCAGAGGCCGTTTTACTAAATTTGCTAGCGTCGTCCTTTCTTGGAGGGTGTGTTTATCAGGGACCGGCTAATTCCTGGATATTCCTCTTAAAATGGCGGGAAGGCGAAGCAACATTCAAGTGGTACCCAAAACACCGATTATCCTTCACAATATTCCACCGCGTGCCATATGAAATCTTTTTTCGCCGCGCTATTGGAATAATCAACACACGAAACGAAAAAAATCGCTAGAATCCGAGCCCTTTTTCGCTGAGAAACCCGGCCATGCCGGTCCATCATTTTACAACAAACAATCACTATGCTTTTATGGAACGGGTTGTTTTCCAGGTGATAGCTTGTTTCAAAATCGTCCTCAACGAGGAGGATTGTGGTGAAGCTAGCAAACGTCGCCGTTTAAAATAGCCCATTCGACCCACTGTCGGTCGTCTTACCTGTAAATTGTCCTGAAGATGACGTTCAATTGATTTTGCACAAAATCTCACAAAAAAATGTCTTCGGGGGAACCCCCCAAAATGCGCCAAATATTGTCGCTGTGACGGCGGTAATAAATTTGCTATAGCTTCCGGCAGTGCATCCATTATAATTGATCCGGGTAGGAAGGATAGGGTGCGTCGTTTGGTTCCTACATCTTTTTTTTTTAAACGAAAACCAACGTACAATAACAGTTTTGGGTCATGAATTAGAATAACGATTCCAAAGTTGTTTTATAAATGGAATAATGATAATATTCCCAAAGAAAAACTTAATGGTAAAAAAGACTGGCGACAATCGAACAAAATCCGACGTGTTTTTTCTCCCTCCGTATATGCATACACACACGCTTACACACATGCACACGCACACGTACACACACGCATATGTGGGTACAGATCTTTTTTTAAAATTATTATTTATTTTAACATCTGCGTAGACTCTCAGTCATCCAGGTCGCCCAAGGTAGAATTGCATCAATATAAAACAAATTCAAGAGTTCAGTATTTATTCTTGTTTTCTGAAAATCTTCCAGTATGACTCAGGCAACTACTGTATGTTATCAGTCTAATGATGTGGGCAATGGATGTCCAGAGCAGCCGGATCTGCATCATTCGAAGGACAATGCCAGACATATTCAAATGGAGGTGCTCAAATGTCGCTGCGGGAAAATAAAACACACACACCAGGAGAGGGACTGGATGATGACCCCCCGCCCCCAACGATCCCTCCATCCCTTCGCGTACACTTTGCCATGGTAACCAGACACAGTGCTCCCAATGCAGCCGCTTAATGTTCTTTTTCAGCCAGCCAGAGAACGATCTGGGTACTAATGTATTTCAGTCTGACTTGGGATGAGCAAATGCACTGGCCGCATATCGCATATTTGTCTGCCATCACAAAAAAAAAAAAAAAATCTACTTGTGTCCCTAAAATAAGTGATAGAGAAAATGGATGGAGTGTGTCATTTAAATTTCTCTGTCTGAGGCATGATCATGTGGAAAAAAAGGTCAAATGTTCATCTAATATATTTTATTTTGGACCTGGATTATAAATCATTCTCATTTTTAAAATTTTATATGGCATTACGTGTTCTTTGTTCATTCCAGAACTACTGGTGGCTATAAAACACCACTGGGTGTCAGCCATGCCCCCCCCCCCCCCGTTCCCTCTCCATTTGGTATTCTCAAAGAGTGAGTAGTTTTACTTGAATTTAGTTTGATCTTAGGTTCACTAAATTGGACAATCCCTGTTTAAGTGTGACTTTAAAACACAGTTGGGAATGTAAATAAAGGCTTTATGATGCCCGGAGCAAATTCATTCACTTTACATGATTTTGTATGGGGCAAAATTGCTATAAAATGTGAAGAATTCGGAAGTGGACCACCATTAATGTCATAGATGGTGTTCCACATTGATAAGGATGAAAATCAACAGTAGGCTTGCATGAAGTGGCCATCCGGGTGGAAACCTTGGCGTCGGTGTCGCGGAGCTCAATCAACAGGCGAGACGTTTCAAGACAGGCGCTTCGCTTTATTTGCAGGTTTGAATCATCAGACACTCCGTGCGGTCATTTAACAGCACGAAAAGAAATCGCACACGCACGCAAATAATAACAAAAATGAGAGTGAAGCATACGACTGAAGTTACCTCATTCCGCTTGCCTGGGGGGCAAATCTACGATTCAATATCAGCTTGTACCTTCTTCCTGGAGTTAATGTGAAGATGGAAACAAGAATGACGGAACTAGAAACACAAACACATGAGTGAAAGCGAAGACCGTTTACTTTTCATACTTAATGTACAGTATATCGTCTTAAGATATAGGACTTTGGTTTCTTTGCTTTATGGCCGACAGCTCCTGTTGAGGAATTTTCGCTTGACCTGAGATGACTTTAAGCTTTGTCACGTTGAAGAGAGTGACATGTCATTGACACGCAATATTTCGTGTTGGAAGCGCAAGGCGAACATAACAGCTAATGCCCCCTCATGGACATCCACGCCATCTCTCCCGGTCCTTTTCGGAAACTTATTTGGCCATTTTTAGATGCAC